TTCATACACTAGATTCAACTCCAGCACCGATGTGCCCTGCTGCTGAGGCAATCCATAAAAGCTGACAGGAAGGAAGGGCCAGGGAGGCCAGGCAGTGCAGGCGGGAATTCATTTCCTCCTGGATATTAAAGATGGTATCAGGCAGGAGTGAGGCTGCCAGGCAGCTGGCGCTGTAATGGGCTGTTCCAGACGGAGCTCTATCTCAAGGTGCATCTGAAGACCGGTTTTGTGAATGCAATAAAGCAAGGCCTGGCAGCATTCTGGACCACCTTCCCACCCCTCCATAGCCCAGCTGAGAGGTAAGCAAAACAGACCCAAACTCCTGCCCAGTCCAGCCAGTCTGACTGGCTCAGCCCCAAAAGGTGACACTGTAGTGCCTTGCAATGGTAGCCTAGCCTAGTATCCAATTTCTAAGGTTCTTTACACACACACACACACACACACACACACACACACACACACACACACAGAGAGAGAGAGAGAGAGAGAGAGAGAGAGAGAGAGGCAGAGACAGAGACAGAGACAGAGAGACAGAGGGGGGGAGGACTGGGGAGACAACTTAGTTAAGAGTCTATCGTGCAAACATCAGGACCTGAGTTTGGATCCCCTGCATCCAAGTAAAAGCCAGGCAAGGTGATGTAGAGCTGGTGGGGAGAATGGGCTGTGGAAGCAGGTCCCAGGACGCATTGGCCAGTCAGGTAAGGTGGACAAACTGGAAAGGCATCCCACAATAAAGAACGCTTGCTGTACAATCATGAGGAGGGGGTTTGGATGTCAGAATGTCTCCCCTAGCAAGTCAGCCTCCCAAGCACACCCATAACCCCAGACATCCAGCCAGCTTTGATCTCTACCCTCTAAACACATATGTAATACCCACATAAGTGCATAGACACACACACACACACACCATGATCTTAATTTTAGGGCTCAGCTGCAGCTCCATAGGTAGAGGGACCTCTTAGCACCTACAGAGCCCTGAGTTTGACCCCCAGCATTTCATAAACCATCTTCAGGTGGCTCAAGCTTGTTATCTCAGGATTTGGGAGCCTGAGGCAGGAGGATTGCTGAGACTTCAAAGCAAAGCCACCCTGACTACATATTGAGCTCCAGGCCTTCCTGAGCTACAAAATAAGACCTTACCTCAAACAAACAAACAAAAAAACTAACCAATAAGCAGTCATAAGTGCCCATTTCTCGTCTCTCTCAGAGGTAATGGCTCCTGGATAGTATACTAACCTCTCTTGTCTGTGCTTTTTTACAATTGATTACATACTTGTGGAAATAAAAGGAACAGTACTAGGGAAGCAATGCCGAAGGACCCTTTCAGACTCTTGACATGTAACTATAATCTTAGCACTAGAGGCTGAAGCAGGAAGATTACAGGTTCTGGGACATCTTGGGCTTCCTAGGGTGACCTCCTGTATGGAGAAAGAGAGGGGGAGGGGGGAGGGAAAGGGAGAGAGGGAGGAAGGAGTGGGACGAGAAGTAGGGGGAGGGTTGTTAAGAGAGAGAAGGGGAGAGGGATCAGGGAAGGGAGAGGCTTTCAAAAAGAAGTCAGGATGCCATCAAGGGCTCAGGGCTTAGGCACGTCTTGGGCTTCTGCTTAAGAACTTGGACCCCACCCTTCAGCCTCTGAGCCGAAGGTAATTACAGCATGCCCAGAGATCCAAGATGTTTATTAGGGTGCAGCTGACTCCTGCTTCAGGAACAGTTCCATTGGTTCTGTAGGTGCCAAGGCCCATGTCAAACAACTTCTGCATTCTTCCTCAGCTTCAGTAGTTTGTTTTTTAATAATTGCTAATTTACCTACCTATCTTCTGTTCTTTCTCTTTTTTTAAGATAGGATCTCACTTTGTAGCCTAGGCTGACCTTCAATTCACATGATCCTCTTGTCAAGTGCTAAGATAAACAATTTTAGTTACGGCTACAATTAGCTTGAGTGTCCCTCAAATATCTATGTGTCAATGACTTGATCTAGAAGGTGGCATTACTGGGAAATGGTGACGATTTAGGAGATGGGGCCTAGGGAAGGTCTCCAGTTACTGGAGGCAAACCCTTGTGGAGACCCGAGGTCCCAGCCTCTCTGTCCTCCTGCCTGGCTTCCGGGTACTTCACCCCACCCGTAGGCTCCCACAAAGGTGCAGTGTACTCACCTGAAGCTAAGAGTGATGGAGCTACCAGATCCTGAGGTGGATCCCACAAGGCCAGTCAAAATGGTCTGTTTCTGGTGTGTGTGTGTGTGTGTGTGTGTGTGTGTGTGTGTGTGTACACTCATGGAGGCCAGAGCCAGAGGTGGTCGGTCATTGAGTGTGCTATATTGCGAGTCATCTGTTTCTCTGACCCCGTCTCTCCCTGAACCTGAAGTTCATGTTTTTTCATGCAGGCTGGAAGCCAGGAAGACAGTGGTCCTCCTGTCTCTGCCTTCCTTGAAGTTGGGTTACATACAGGCATTGGTGGGGATCTCTAGCTAGTTACATAGGTTCTGGGATCCTAACTAAGGTTCTCATGATTCCATAGCAACTAATCATGCTCTCCAATGCTATGCCAATTTGTTTGTTTGTTTGGGATTGGGTTTGGGGTTTTTTGTTTTGTTTTCTGGAGACATTCTTTCTATGTAGCCCAGGCTGGCCTCAATTCCCAATTCTTCATCCTTCTTCTACCTCCTGAATGCAGGACCTTTTCCCCCTTTATAAATTAAGTATCTCAGGTTTTGTTACAGCAACATGAAGCTGACTAATGATTTTCTGATGAATTAAGTCCCTTTGCTCACCGTGAGTTTTCACTTTCCCTACTTGCTTTGAAACACTGACTCAGCCTATCCAAACCTATGTCTCCCAAATTGCATTTTTCAAGACCCCCAAATAAGGCTCCTTCATGTTTGTCCCTTCTAACCTTAAACTGACATTTTTGTCTGTCTTAAATCACAAAACAAAATATTGTTTGGTTTTACATATCTCTGAACGTTATGTACATTTTGTTTCGTTTTTAGATAGGATAGGTTCCCACTATATATGCCAGGCTGTCCTCCAATGCTTCCACGCAAGCATTAACCAGACCTGACTGATTAGCTTCTGAGAGGAGATCAAGTGTGTTCAGGATGACCTAGACTGCCCTCCAACTCCATATCTGAGACTCAGCCTTCTGAGTGCTGGGATTATAGGTGCACATCACCCCTGGTCTTGAGGTTTATCTAGGGAGGTTTGGTTTTGTCACAAGGGGTGAAATTTGATTGTATCAGTCACAATCTGTGATCTCAACAGAAGTATTTTCAACTGTTGGATAGCCATCAGCACTCGGGCCAACTCTTGGTTTTTAGTCTTTTGTTCTCCTTCATGTTGGGGCTCGAGGGAAGAAGGACTTTTTTTTTTTTTTGGTTTTTCGAGACAGGATTTCTCTGTATTGTTTTGGAGGCTGTCCTGGAACTCACTCTGTAGACCAGGCTGGTCTCAAACTTACAGAGATCCACCTGCCTGTGCCTCCCGAGTGCTGGGATTAAAGGCGTGCAGAGAAAGACTTTTTTAAGGTTTATTTTTATTTGTGTGTTGGTGAGTGTACAGGTGCCTGTGGCGGCCAGAAGAAGGCATTGGCTGAGTTACAGGCAGTTGTGAGCCACTTGATGTGGGTGCTGGGAACTGAACCAGGGTCTCCGCAAGTGCCCTTCACTTCTGAGCCCTCTCTTTAGTCCCATGGGGCAGGGGGTCTTTTTTGAGACAATATTTCACACTTTGCCACAGGTTGGCCTTGACTGGAAGCAATCCTGTCTCCTGACTACTAGGATACACACACACATACACACACACACACACACACACACACACACACACACACACACAGGCTCTCACTATGTTGCCCTGGTTGGTGTTTAACTTCTAATTTAAAGTTCTCCTGCCTCAGTCTCTGAAGTAGCAGGACCCACAGCTGGCAATCTTAATAAATTTTAAGGCTTTTTTTTCTTATCTCCCCTCTCCCGTCTCTCCTAGTTTTCTTCCTGTTGCTGTGATAAAATATTCTGATATAAAAACAATTTAGGGGAGAAAGGGTTTATCTGATCCTAGGTCACAGTCTGCCAAGCGCCACCCTACCTGCCTTGTGTGGTGCTAGGGCTTCAAACTCACTGAACCATTGAACCGGCTTAGCTACATCCCCAGCCCCTGTAGGAGTTCTTTCTAGGTCCTATGATGAGGCTTTTATTTTTCCAATACTGAGGATTGAACTCTAAACATGGATGTGCCTTACTCCTCTAGCTAAATCATTAGGGTTAGAGAGCTGGTCCCAGGCAGGAAGGGACGATATAAATAAATCAGACCAGTTAGGTAAGAATCGCAAGTTTCCAGCCGGTGTTTTGCTCTGCTCTGCTTTTTAGGGAATCAATCACAAGGTGTGGATTGAAGAATGCTGAACCGTCAGCTTCTGGTGCATCTAGATGAGGGCGTGGACCAGCTGCCTGTGAACCCATCGCCCTCCCTTGGGTATCAGGTTCAAGGATCTGTGTTTCTCTGCCCCAGGTGGTACCCTGTGATCGGTGCGTGCTCCCGAGGCTCCCCGCAGAAGGACCTTAAAGTACGGGCCGGACTGGCGCCCAGCCAAGCGCGCAGTTGCTTCACAGACTTAAGGTACAGGGCCGAAGGCGTGCAACGATCCTCAGCCACACTGAAAATGACAGAGCTCGGAACGTGCGACGGCGCAGGAACCTGACACTCTCGCGTCTAGCCTAGCCTCGTGCACTTAAGTTCTCCAGTGATGCTTCCTGGTAAAGGAACGCAGTCCAGTTGGCTGCAGCCGGGTCCACAGCAGTTTTCACATTGCACCACTGTAGGGACAGGCGGGAACCGGCAGGCATCCGCCGGACTTTGGACCCTGAGCGTGGAGATGTTGCAGGAAGAGGGCAAAGGGACGACAGGAGCCCTGGCCGCCACGGCCACAACTGAGAGTGGAGGAGTCCGCGGGGACACACCCGCCTCCAGGTCTCCCGGGCGGCGGGACCGCGGCACGCGCTCCTGATTGGGCCACGCAGTGGCCGCACCGCCTCCAAGCGCCGCCTGCGGACAAAGAAGGGGATAACGGGACTGTTGTCGCCGGCCGCCCCAGCCACGCATCATGCCCTACCTGCTCATTAGCACCCAGATCCGCATGGTGAGTACCCGGCGTGGGTGACTGCGGCAGCCACTTTGCCGGACTTCCCTGATAGCCGCGCAACCCGCCCGCCACGCCCCCGCGGTGCGAACTCCGAGCAGGGTCAGGCGGCTGGGTGGGCGGGGAGCTCCGCGGAGACACCCACGACCCGCTGCACAAGTGCTGCAGCCAGGGCCCCGCACGAAGGCAAAGGCCAAGCTTACCGCGCGTACCGCGGCTGCACCTGTAGCTCCTACTAGGCAGGTCTAGTTCTGAAGCACAAAGACCTCTCGGGGCTTGGGGGAAGGAGAGGGCTGCAGGTGGCCTGGAGGCTGAGATCACCCTCTCTAGATGCAGTTTCCTCAGCTGGGGGAAAAGGTGCTGTGCGGGATGCTTCAAAAACCCCTTTGTAACTTTCAAAGGCTACATGATGCCCCCTCCCCGAGATGAACAGCAGGGCGCGCTCTCGTCCCCTTCCAGCGCTCCAGCAGGATGAAGCAGGAAGCCAGGGCTCATGTCGCAGGAGAGGTCTCGGCAGAGCCCAGGGCAGAGGTCTGAGAACCTGTACAGTTGTTAAAATATGGATTGCTGGGCACTTTTCCCAGACCTTCAGAAACTCTGGAGGATGTGAGAATCCAAGCTTGGAAATGTCCCCCTCAAATAATAGTTCTTTTAATTCTTTCCCTTTTTCTTCCTGTAGCCCAGGTTGACCGCAAATTTGTTATGCATTGGAAGCTGGCCTTTTCCCCAAGTGTTGGATTTACAGGCATGTCCTACCAGGCTTGGCTCTCTTAAATTATAGTTTTTTTAAAAGATGTATTTATTATGTATACAGTGTCCTGGCATGTTCATGCCAGAATAGGACACCGAATCTTAATATAGATGGTTGTGAGCCACCATGTGGTTGCTGGGAATTGAACACAGTACCTCTGGAAGAGCAGCCAGTGCCCTTAACCTCTGAGCCATCTCTCCAGCCCCAAAGTATAGTTTTATTGATATGCAACCAAAGCATTCATTGGTTGAAAACATACCATTTGATGTCTGTGAGGGGTTTTGTTTTTAGTATATTCAGAGTTGTGCACCATCATTGGAATACATTTTAACATGTGTCCATGAGCTCTAGCTACTAGCTTTACTTGAGCCTGTGTGTTCTCCTAGGCCTGGCTGCTTTCATGTCCATGTTTCCAAAGCCCGTTCATATTGTTACATGTATCAGGATGTCATTGTTGCCGAATAAGATTCTATCATAAGGCTACACCACTTTTTTTTCACAGTCTCACCTTGTAGCCCAGGCTGCACTCCACGCTAGCTTCCTCTTCTCTCTGCTGCCCCCTTTTCTATTAGAATTGCAGGCTCGCTGTTTGTTTGTTTGTTTGTTTGTTTTTTTGAGACAGGGTTTTTCTGTGATAGCTCTGGCTGTCTTGGAACTCATTCTGTAGACCAGGCTGACCTGGAACTCACAGATCCACCAGCTTCTTGCTGGGATTAAAGGTGTGTGCCATCACTGCCGGGCTAAGAGTTGTCACATTTTCCTTTTGTGGTCATCAACTGGCAAGCACTGCAAGATTGTTTCCACCTTTTGGCTGTTATGAGTAGTTCTTTGTTGTTGTCCTTTTGTTTTTCATTTTGGTGGTGGCTGTAAATTGGGAAGTTTACATGCCTGTGCATAAACTTTTATGTGGACATGTACTTTCATTCTCCAGGTGATACCAATACACAGGAAACCTGACTGGTGGCATTGGGCCTGAAGGTGCCAATAGGCAGCAGTTTAGGAAGTCAGGGAGGACTCACCCTGAAGGTGCCAATAGGCAGCAGTTTAGGAAGTCAGGGAGGACTCACCCTGAAGGTGCCAATAGGCAGCAGTTTAGGAAGTCAGGGAGGACTCACCCTGCTCTCCTCTTAGCTTGTGCCGCACCTCCATTGGCCTTCAGTACTGCTTCCCCTTTACCGATAGCTTCCCCAAGGCCAGTGGGGAGGGGAAACAAGGAGGACTGTCCACCGGCTAAGCAACTCCTGTGGCTTACCTTACAGGAGGTGGGCCCCACCCTGGTGGGGGATGAGCATTCGGATCCAGAGCTGATGCAGCACCTGGGGGCCTCGAAGAGAAGTGTCCTGGGGAACAACTTGTAAGTAGTGGCGTGCTGCAGAACCTTCTTTCTCCCCGGCAGTGCCTCCTCCTGCCTTTCACAGCCATCATCAAGCTACTGTAGGGCTTGCTCTCACCTATCATCCCCCACAGGGCCCTAAGCTTAATGAGTTTCCCACACGCCCCCAGCCTTCCTTCACAGAGTGGCTCATCCTTAGTGGAAGTCTGGGACAGCCCGTCCCCAGTCTGGGGTTCTAGAAATGACTGTTCCTTGCTTTGCCCTCTCTGCTCTAAATCGGATCCCATTAAGAGTTGGCTGAGTAACAGAGCCCAGCCCCAGAAACAGAGCAGGACATCTGGGCCCTCTCTGCAGCTCCTGGCTGCCTGGCATTTGGTCATTCCCCTCAGCATCCTTCACATCATCTCTGTGTCTAGACACCACTTCCCTTCCTGCTTCCTCATTCTACGTCTTAGAATTCTACTGCTGTAAAGAGACGCCATGACTAAGGCAACTCTTAGAAAGCATTTGATTGGGGACTGGCTTACAGTTTTAGGGGGTTAGTCCATGATGATCGTGGTGGGAGCGTGGCAGGATGAAGACAGGTGATGGAGCAGTAGGGAAGAGCTTTATGTCCTGATTTGGAGGCGAGAGAGAGAGACAGAGACAGAGACAGAGACAGAGAGACAGAGAGACTCTGGCATGGGCTTTAGAATGTCAAGACCACACCTCCTCATCCTTCTCAAACAGTTCCACTCCCTCCCTGGTAACTGAGCATTCACATATGAGGCTTTGGAGGCTCTTTCGTTCAAGCCGCCACAGCCACTTATAAAAGAAAGCATTTAATTGGGGACTTGCATTGAGTGAACCCATAACCCAAATGGCAGCAGCACGGCACTGGAGCAGTAGCTGAGACTCACATCTGATCCACAGGCAGAAAGCAGAGACACTGGTCCTGGAGTGGCCTTTTGAAAACTAAAGCCCACCTCCTGTGCCACGCCTCCTCGCAAGGTCACAGTTTCTAATGCTTCCCAAAACAGTTCCACTAGCTGGAGACCAAATGTTCAATTATACAAGCCTGTGGGGGCCATTCTTATTCAAGCCAACACTCTCCTACTATGAGGAAGAAAACCAAGTGGGTTCAAGGGTCCTCAGAATTGCCAGAGTCCCGAGTGCCGGAAGGGGCGGGAAGACAAGCAGCCCCCTGATCGATGCAGGGAGGCGCCAATCCCATCTCTTCCGTGATGCTAAGGATGCTAAGCTTGGGGTTTGGGCCTTTTATTCACCTCACACTTTTTACAGCTCAAGGGAAATCAGACTTTCTGTGCCAGAAAAGGGCACATGGATCCAGGCGCTATCAGGTGCTAACCTATTTGCTGCTCCAGGATTTCAGGGCAGCTAGAGAGGGCAGACTGCCTAGTGGGGTGCTTAGACTAACACACACAGAATGGGCTACCATGGGCTTGCTATTCACGACCGGCAGAGTTAACCAGCCTGCTTTCTCACGTATCGGCAGGAACAGATGGGGTGAGAAGAAAATGAAGTGTGTAGCAAGAGACAGAGCAGAGGTGTACATTTAGCCTGTCACCAGCAAGTGTCCAGCAAACAGGCCTGGCACGAAGAGAACTAGCTCTGTAAGCGTGCCTGCACTGTCTCCTCACCCTGCTCTCCCGGTTTCTTTGCAGTTATGAATACTATGTCAACGACCCTCCTCGAATAGTCCTGGACAAGCTGGAACTCAGGGGCTTCCGTGTGTTGAGCATGACGGGGGTGGGTCAGACGCTGGTGTGGTGCCTGCACAAGGAGTGACCTGGCTGAGCCGTGGACAGGGCACCTCTTCTTTGGAGGACCTAGCATGTGCCCTGACCCCCGATCCTTGCAACACTGTCTACCCTGCCATCTCTTTCCAAATCGTCAACTTCCTTGTGCAACCCTGATGGGCTGTACAGCTGAGGAACCTGATCCAGCTGGCTGGGCACAGCGGGCCCTTGCCCTGGTGCTTTCAGCACACCCCCCCAGGTCTGACCTTGGCTCTGGCAGGCTACCCAGAGGACGCACCCTGGATCCTGCACAGGTAGTCCAAGCCAATTAAAGGCTCTCATGAGTGGATGTCCCTCAGCTATGCTGTGCAGTGACTCTTTTGTTTTTTTTTTTTTTGGTTTTTCGAGACAGGGTTTCTCTGTATTGTTTTGGAAGCTGTTTTGGAACTCGATCTGTAGACCAGGCTGGCCTCGAACTCACAGAGATCCACCTGCCTCTGCCTCCCGAGTGCTGGGATTAAAGGCGTGAGCCACCACTGCCCAGCGTGCAGTGACTCTTGAAATGTGACACTCTTTACTGGTCTGCTCCTATCCACAGGTGAAGCCCTTGGCGCCAGTGGAGCTCTCTCAGATAAAGCCCAGCACAAGATAAGAAAAGTAGACTTTTTTTTTAATTTAAAAAAGTTTATTGGTGATGACTCAGTAAAGGGTGTGGGGTGGGAGAGCAGGAACTGGGCCTACGTGGGTTGCCCCTCATCTTCCTGCTGCATCTGGGCGATCAGCTGCTGGCGCTCAGCTGCCTGACGCATGCGCATCATGACGAGACTCTCATAGTCCCTTTCTGACAGCACTGAGCCCTGGGGACAGAAAGGACAGAGAGAAGTCACGCTAGCGGGCACAGCCCCACAGATTACAGACTCTGTATAGGATCCAGACAGAGCCAAGTCTAAAAGTCCAAGAGGAAGAAGTGCAGAGGAAGGACCCAGACATCTTGGATCCCGGAGCCTTCAGAGAAAGCAGGCCTGCCCTCCCCAGGCTGCTTCTCCACCGGCTCCTTTCAGCTCATCCCTACGCTCCTCCAGTGTCCCCTTACCCAGGATGTCCCATCTATCCGCATCCTGCTCTGGTTCAGTCCTTCCTTGTGACTCACTTTCCTATGCGCTGGCCTGGCCTCCCACGTCACTTCCTCAGCCCTTATCTGATGCTCTTTCCTCCACCCATGGCTTCCGCCTGGCAGGTTCCCAACAGAGAGGCTGTGTGAGGTGCAGGGGTTCTCACCAGAGCACTGCCCCCTGTGGTCTGGCTCCTGCTGAGCATGCAGAAGGGGGCCTTGCCCCCCACAAAGCCTCAAATGGCCCCGCTCTAGAAAAGCAAGCATGAGCCCACTTGCCTCCAAAGACACAAAACCCTCCTTTTTGACCTTGCCAGCCATGCAGGGGAGTGAGGAGGGTAGCTTTAATCACCCCAGAACAACAGACAGCCACCACTGGGCCAAGGCTGTGGAGTGAGGCAGCCAAGCCCACAGTCTGTCAGGGCCACGGTATGAATCAGAGACCGTTTCCTCCTGTAGCACAGCTGGGGCTGGGACACCACTTCTGAGCCTACAGCTGATAGAGGGTGGGAAACCCACCAGAGTTGGCACGAGGCATGCCAGGACAGCGGTTGCAAGTGTGGTGGCCCGTCTGTGACAAGGGTCGTGGAGTCCTGCTGGGCACCCCACACTGGTGGAAAGCTTGGGAGTAAAGACTATACTTTCAGCGGGGCGTTGGTGGCGCACGCCTTTAATCCCAGCACTCGGGAGGCAGAGGCAGGCGGATCTCTGTGAGTTCGAGACCAGCCTGGACTACCAAGCGAGTTCCAGGACAGCCTCCAAAGTCACAGAGAAACCCTGTCTCGAAAAACAAAACCAAAAAAAAAAACAAAACAAAACAAAAAAAAGCTTGGGAGTCAATGACCCAGGGAATAACACGGGAGTGGCTGAAGTTAGGCTGCCAGGCCCTGGCTAATTTGGAGTCTGGGGTGCAGATAAACAGGAAGTGACACCCAGTCTGGTACCCTGTCCTTATACCTCCCCGACCCCTAGGAATGCCCCCTTCCAGCCACCCTCTCCCCAACCGCTGGCAATTCATGGCAGCCTCACCCACCCTGGCCCCTCTCCAAGAAGGTCCCCAAAGGAGGCCACCAGCCAGAGGGAAAGGACTGGAGCATCATAGGAGCACGGGGCACTGGCCTTCTGGGGTGAAGAAGGAGTAAAAAGCTGGGAGGCCATACTGATGTCCCAACTGTAGGGAGGGCACTGCTCCTTCCTCAAGTTCATATTGCTCTACCAAGAAACCTTCAAGTCACCCCTGGCATGCCCCAGCACCTTGGGAGGAGCAAGCCCTGCACAGGCATGGGCCGTTCCCTGTTAACACACCCTCCACATCCTTCCCCACCATTCCTGTGGCCTGGCTAATGAGAGCCTGTCAGCCTGCCCAAGGGTGAGTCACCCACACCAGCAGGCCTCCCCTCTTCCTTCCCCAACAATCGCTTCGAAAGTTGCCTTTCAATTAGCTCCCTGGGCTCTTCCCAGAGACATCTGGGGCTAAAGAGGCAGGCAGGCCTGCTGGGGTTACAGCGATGGAGCTTTGACTAGAAAGGAAGTAATCTAGTGACACACCCAGACCAGTCCCTAGAAGAATCTGAAGCGTCCTACTGCCCTGGGGTGTTGGTCCCAGCTGCCCCAATCCCAGCCAGCAGATGCTGCAATTACCTCAGAGCATGAAACCAGCTTCCCACCTGACTGAGTCAGCTGAAAACAAAACACATCTCTACCACACGCTGGCACAAACAGCCCAAGCCACTAATCAGAGTCCCCAGATGCTGGCAGGGAGAGCACAGTCCTCCACTGCCAGGAGATCGGCGGAGGCCAGAGCCACCAGCGAGAGGGTGAACAGAACCCAGCTGCCGCCTGCCTGTAGGAGTGCCGCTCCTCCCCGGAGGTCCAGCCCTGCCCACCGGCCCTCAGCCTTGTTTTACCCCTGCTGTGCTCTGTAAGTACTGCTGCTTCCTTTGTGTTTCTTCCCTACATGCTGATCAAGTAACCAGGCCACTCTTACCTAGGTGGAACTCCCAGCACTCTGATCTCCCGGACAAAATCTCCCTCCTGCTAGTCCTGTCTCCCCATCCAAGATGTAACAAGACAAGGGCCACACTGAGCAGAGACCTACAGCCTCTGCTTCTAGCCCTTGAGGGCTGTCTCCCCGCTTCCTGGCCTCCAGCACTCTAGCAAATGGTCACAAGCTGCCGCTGAGTCCCTCTGGGATTTCTCAGATGCCAGACCTGCTGGCTGGCTGAGGAGCTCTATGGAGACTTGGCGGAAAGGCTCCTTCCGTAATGCCTCCTTCTTCAAGAGGATGACCCTGGGGCGGCCACGGCGACTGCGGCGACAGGGCAGCATACTCAGCCAGGCCAGCACTGCTGGTGGTGACCACGAAGAGTACAGCAACCGAGAGGTCATCCGGGAACTTCAAGGGAGGCCAGATGGCAGGCGTCTGCCCTTGTGGGGGGATGAGCAGCCCCGAGCCACCCTGTTGGCCCCACCCAAGCCCCCACGTCTCTACCGAGAGAGTTCCAGTTGCCCCAACATTCTGGAGCCCCCAGCAACCTACAGCACTGCCTACTCGGCCACCCTGCCTTCAGCAATCTCCCTGACAGGCCCCCTCCACCAATGCTCAGATGAGAACCTTTTGGACACTCCCCCTTTCCCAAGGACACCTGCTCCAGACCTCAATGACCCTTTCTTTTCCTTCAAAGTGGACCTGGGGATTTCACTTCTGGAGGAAGTCCTACAGATGCTAAGGGAGCAGTTCCCTAATGAGCCCCACTTCTGACCCCGGTGAGGGCAGAGGGAACTGGGGTGACTGAAGCCTGGGGGACCTAGGGGAGAAAGGCACAGTGTGGATTAAGAAGCAGTTCAGCCTGCCCTCAATCCTCCAAGGCACCCAGAGTGAAGGGACAGAAGCCAGCTGGGAATGTATGGGGTCGCTTTCTGGCAGGAGCCCTGAAGGAAGCTGGGAAGGTCAGGAAAAGGAAGCCACACCTGCAACCACAGGAACCGGTCAGAGGTCAGTGGAGAGACAGGGTGGCATGGGGCAAGTCAGGGAGTAGGACTCTGATTGGACAGGACAGACAGTGCCCTGCACCAGCCTCTCCAAGCCATTGTCAACAGAGCAATCATAAAACACCTCTAGGAAGAAGCAATCTGAGTTTAAGAGAACGTGGGGAGGCCGGAGAGGACAGAGATAGATAGCGGCCACTCACTTCCTATGACTGATTTAACTGAAATAAACAAAAACTGAAAGTTCAGTGCTTGCTTGTGAGCAGGAGGGCCTGAGTTCAGACCTCCAGCGCCCACATAAAAAGCTGTGCAGGTGTGACAGTCTGCCTGGAATTCCAGCATTCAGGATGCAGGCACATGGGATCCCAGGGGCAGGCTGGCTGGTTACACTACTCAGATTTGCAGACTCCAGGTCCAGCAAGAGCAAGAGCCCCTGTATCAGTAATAAAAAGTGGAGAGCAACTGACATCACCCTCTGGCCTCCACTTGCACGCACACACACATACAGATACACACACACACCCACCCACCATATAGACACAAGTAAAAAGAAAAATTCAGTTCCCTTTCATCCTAGCCAATTTTGTTTACTTTTGAGACAGGGTCTCTTATGTAGTGAGGGTGTCCTTAAACTTATGATGCGCCTACCTCCACCTCCTGAGTGTTGGGATTTCAGGTATGTGTCACCACCACACCCAGTGGGGTTGGGGATCAAACTCAGGGCTTCATGCATGCTAAGCAAGTACTCTACCAAAACAAGCCACATGCCAGCACTCTAGCCACATTTTAAGGATGTTTTTAAATTTTATTTTTAATTGTGTATGCAAATATATACTGGTGGCTGCAGAGGCCAAAGGTGTTAGATGCCCCTGTAACTAGAGTTACAGGTAGTTGTGAGTCACCTAATATGGTTGCTAGGAATTGAACTCAGGTCCTCTGGAAGAGCAGTATGTGTTCTTAATTAATGAGCCATCTTTCCAGCCCACCTAGCCATATTTAAAACCAACAGGCAACCACATCTGATTCATAGTTACCACACTGGCCGACAGAAAATAAACCAAAGTCCACTGGACAGTGTTGTCCAGACACCAGTGTGGAAATGCCAGAAGCCAGGATAAGGAAAGGAAGATGCTGGCCCTGAGCTTCAAGCGCAGGAGGGGTTGACAGAGCAGGAGGGGCAGGCAGAGGAAAAAGCAGGGGAAATGCCCAACAATCATTAGCAAAACAGCACGAGACTCCAGCATCCCACAGACCCCCAAGCAATCTCTGTGAGGGAGGAGGCAGCTCAGGGAATCACCAGGTTGCAGAGGGGTGTTTTGGGAACTCCCACAAGTACTATGTATGGGAGCCTCTGGGAAAGGCTCTAAAAGCAGCAGCTTTCCTTCCCAGCAGGGGGACGCCAGAGCAGGGAGAGGACAAAGCACCAAGCAGCTCCGGAACCCTCCGCCAGGCCTGGGGAGCTCTGCCTTGCCCGGTCTGTGGCTTGGCCACATCTGAACCCAGAATACAGAAGCACTGGGCCATGTGGGTCTGGTCCCCAGATCTCTCTGATGGGAAAGGAGGGTAGAGGGACACTGTGACACACGCTGCCTCCACAGAGCCACATCCATGATATCGTTCCTGCTCCTGTGCAGAGCGCCAGGCTGAGAGGTTGCACTGGCTACAGGAGGCAATGAATAAAGGTTTTCTAAAACAACTAGAGTGTGGCCTGGGATGGAGAATGCTGAAACTGAATGGCACAGGAACAAGGCTTCTTTTAAGTCAAGATCCTGAGCTGACCTACACCACTTCATGTCCCTCCTCTAGCCAGGGTCTGGGACACTGTGGTGACTGAATGACAATGACCCCCATAGACCCATATGTTTGAATGCTTGGTGCCCATGGAACTGTTTGGGAAGGATTAGCAGGTGTGGCCTTGTTGGAGGAGATGTGTCACTGGGGGGTGGGCTTTGTGGTTTCAAAAGCCCAAGCCATTCCCACTCAGCGCTCTCTCTGCCTTGTGCATATAAGCTTTCAGCTACTGCTCCAGCATCCTGCCTGCTGCCACACCCTCTACCCTGATGATCATGGACTCATAATCTTTGGAACCCTGAGCCCCCAAATTAAATGCTTTCCTTTGCAAGTTACCTTGGTCATGGTGACAAAACTGTCACAGCAGCAGAAAAGTAACTAAGACAGGCACACTCCCCAGCAGCTCCCAATTTCTCAGGCTGGTACAGGGACAGGTAACCTGGCAGAGACCCTGATAACTCTGGGAGGCTGGGGACATGCCAGCAGGTACCCAGGCTGTTTCAGAGAAGTGAAGCTCCAGGAGCCTATGCTGGTCACTCTAAAAAACTGAACCATGAAGGACAGAGTTGTAAGGACTAAGAGGCAGCCCTGGGCGCACAGTGGCTGGAAGGGCAGACTTGGCAGATAGAGCGCTCCAGGTTCTATCAGGGACACAGCGCTCTCTCTAGAGGAGACGTGCCCGTCAGAGTCACTGTGAGTCGGGAGTGGAGACACCCCTGACACCGTCGCTCTAGTCACCTGCCTTCTGGCCTCTTCACCCAACACTAGATTGCCTAGTCTCCAGATCCTTTACACCATGACCAAGAGCAGAAGGCAGAAGCCCCCCCAGGTAGGGATGAGAGCTCCAACAGGAGACACACACATGAAGGGTAAGCAAGGGACAACTTCCTTATTTCTTTTTGGTTTTTCAAGACAGGGTTTATCTGTGTAATCCTGGCTGTTCTAGAACTCACTCTGTAGGCCAGGCTGGCCTTCAACTCAGAGATCTACCTGCCTCTGCCTCTTGGGTGCTGGGACTGAAGGTATGTGCCACCATGTCTGGTGTGGGCCAACTTTTGTGTAGTTCTAGAGGTGTACTTCAGTGGAAGCATATGGGTTAACTATGAGCAGGACCCTGGGTTTGATACAGTGCCAGAAAAAAATGAATAAAAAACCTGCCGGGTGGTGGTGCACTTGGAAGGCAGAGGCAGGGAGATCTCTGAGTTTGATGCCAGCCTGCCTATAGAGTTCCAGGACAGCCAGGGCTATGTAGAGAAACCCTATCTCCAAAACAAACAAACAAACAAACATAAAATGAAAGAAAAGAAGGAAAGGAGGGAAGGAAGGAAGGAAGGAAGGAAGGAAGGAAGGAAGGAAGGAAGGAAGGAAGGAAGGAAGGAAGGAAGGACTCTAGGATAAGAGGCTCTGGCACCTCAGGGAGAGCAGGGAGTCAGCCCTCCTGCCTGGGCTGGGAAGCCCACCCACCCCATTCTATTCTTATCTGGACTTGGTAATAAAGGGCCTGAGAAAGTGGCTGAAGAAGGTCCCAGACCCCAAGCAGATCCAGCTGGGTGACTCCTGGCTTTTTTACCTTTGTTAATCCTGTGTCACTGGGGTCCACTGTGCCCTGGGGCTGTCCCTCCAACCAGGAAATCTTCAAAGGGTTGTCCACCAGGCCCACTTCATTTCTGACAGCCAGCTCCTGCCAAACAGAGTATCTAGTCTCTGTCCCATCTGATCTAGCCATAAGGGGCTCTCTCTACCCCAAGAAAGACAAAAACCAACATCTCAGGCCTCCTCTCAGCAGATCTAGGCAACCTTAGCATCCTGCAAACAATGCTGTGCTGAAGTTCTGACTCTTGTGGGAGTGTGGAGGAAATGCACCTTCTGATTTGGAGAAACAAAAAAGAATATTCCGGTGGGGAGGCCATGCTTATGCTTGGGCAGGGTGGAGAGGCCATGCTGGGACAGGGTGGGAGACCATGTTGGTGCAAGCAGGGGAAGGTACATGCTGGTGCAGGGTGGGGGGTGTGGTACGGAGCCAGACAGAGTGAAATAAGTCAGAGCATTGTCCCATGCAATGTTGAAGCCAGGAGACCTTTTGGGGAGATCCAACTCTAGGACTGGCCTAAAGATCTACTGGCAGTGTGGGGCCATGAAACTGGGCCCCTGCCCAGAATGACAGGACTTGTCAGTGGCCCCCAAACCCCATAGAGCACTCACCGCAGCCCTGACACTTGCAAACTCCACTATGGCATTGCCTGCCTTCTTTCTGGAAAGCACCAGGTTGAGAACCTCTCCATACTGTGGAGACAAGAGAGTCACAGTAAGTATACCTGGACACACAGCAAGCCCATTCTACCTCAGCCCAACCCTGGGATTAATTACTACTAGGGACCCAGAGAAGCAAGGTTGGAGAGTAGTTGCTTTCATTTCCTGAGGTATACAGGACAGCAAAGGTGAGATGGGCAGCGTACTGAGACCAGGCAAGTGCGCAGCACAGCTGTCTCAGCTCCTGGAAGCAGGAAGAGGAGGGGCTTCATTCCAGACAGACACCTCCTCTCCCTGCACATCCAGCTAACCCTGAACTTCAAGCCAAGGGCTAGGCTTAGACAGGGAAGAAGGGTCACGTGACAAATGATGGGAGAACTGGCCAGCGGCATCTCTAGACTGACCCATGGTTATGAGACAGACAAGAAAAGAGTAGGCAGCCACACTAGAAGCACAGGGGCATTTGAGCTCTCTGGTCTGCGATGACAGGAAGTGGCAGATGTCAGCAGAGTACCTTCTGCAAAAGCCTCAGGAGGACATCTCTGGAGTAGCCACCTTGGGATTCATCTTCCTTCTTGCATTTCCACTTTAGCTAAAAGACAGCATCACCATCAGCCACACAGACTCTACAAGTGAGCTTGTCCTCTGTCACCATCAGCCACACAGACTCTACAAGTGAGCTTGCCCTGTCACCATCAGACACACAGACTCTACAAGTGAGCACACCCTCTGTCACCATCAGCCACACAGACTCTACAAGTGAGCTTGTCCTCTGTCACAATCAGCCACACAGACTCTACAAGTGAGCACGCCCTCTGTCACCATCAGCCACACAGACTCTACAAGTGAGCACACATTCTGTCACAATCAGCCATACAGACTCTACAAGTGAGCACACATTCTGTCACAATCAGCCACACAGACTCTACAAGTGAGCACACCCTCTGTCACCATCAGCCACACAGACTCTACAAGTGAGCTTGTCCTCTGTCACCATCAGACACACAGACTCTACAAGTGAGCTTGTCCTCTGTCACCATCAGACACATAGACTCTACAAGTGAGCACACCCTCTGTCACCATCAGCCACACAGACTCTACAAGTGAGCACACCCTCTGTCACCATCAGACTCTACAAGTGAGCATGCACTCTGAGCAGACCCCTGCTGCTCTCCAGGCTCTGGAAACTAAGACTACCCAAACTATGCCTCCTGTGGAAACTGAGGGGGAGGCAGCCTGATTAGTCTTAGTGACACTTTGTACACTCTGGGAACCCATCTAAAGCAGACGGTGATGGCTCATGCCTTTAATCCCAGCACTCAGAGGCAGAGGCAGGCAGATCTCTGAATTTGAGGCCAGCCTGGTCTACAGAGTGAGTTCCAGGATGGCCAGGACTACACAGAGAAACGCTGTCTCGGGGAAAAGAAGAACCCATTCAATGGGCTTCTATGGATGTTACACCCACCTGATGTGATGAGCTCTGAGAGGCAGTGGGAGGGTCCAGGCCTGGGTCAACGGAAGGATGCGATAGTGGTGCTGGTTTCCCACAGGAAACACCTAGTCTTACTGGGAACCACTGTGCTGTGATCACCGATCATGCAGACTCACCTTTAGTTTGGGGGTTCCCTGGCCTTCAATATTTTCTGTTCTTCCTATTGGGGAAAAAAGATAAGAAAAATTTCAGAGAGTTCAAGGTCTCCCAAAGGAGAGGTGGCACCAAGCCAGGGCCTGACCTATAAAGGCTACTCATATCCAAGGGCAATGTCTGGTGGGAGGCGGATGCAATCCCATCCCATCCCTGGGCAGCCTGCTCAGCCACTTCCTGAAGGTCATCTAGTAGCTCTCTCAAATGAAAAGCTGGGAACACACTGTAGGGGCCAGAGACAGACACACAGACCATTCAGTTCCACTGAGGCCAAGTACCCCAAGGCCTTTCCCCTCAAAATCTGCTCCAAAACAGAGCCCCCTCTGCTTGGGACTGAGACTTGTAAAAAGCACACAGGCTCCCACAAGCTGGTGTGTCACAACAGGGTGCTGTGGAGTACCATGGGGTGGGTATTCACGGGGTTCGGGTAGGTGGAACCTCTACAGCCACTCCGTGAAGCAGCAAGCATGGCCGCTCAGTCCCACGAGGTACACTTGCTGTGGAGGAGACACAGGACAGCGTGCACTCTCACCTCGCAGCCTCTGTTCTCGGTCCTGGCGGATCTGCTCCTGGACCAGCCTTTGCTGCTCCTCCAGCTGACGGGAGCCCTCTTCTCGAAGGCGCGCAATCTGCAGGGCGGGGGAGCGGAGGGTGACAATTGTGTGCAGATCCAATGCCAGGGTGGCTCACTTGTGAAGGTCCCTGGGAGGTTCCACCTGCACGCTAGGGCTCAGCAACCTGTGGGTGGGACAAATCGCCCAGCTCCCACACAAGACAAAAGGAGCAAGCTGTCCCCACACAACAACTACTCAGGTCCCTCCCCCGCTGCAATGACCCTCCGGCCAGGGGATGTGGGTGCTCACCTCCTGCTCTAGTGTTGTGGCGCTCCGGCTCTCCTCCTCTTCCTCACTCCCCTGGGCCTGGGCCTGCCGCTCCCGGGCCTCCAGGTCTAGGCACAAGGGTTGAATGGTGCAATTTCTAGTCTGCATGTCTACTATGGCCTGAGCCCA